TTCCAGGCTGTGCGCTCTTCATGTTTTTTATGAGCACTGCCACAAACATCCCGTAATCGGCGTGTATGTTCCGGATTAGTGATGTTGTCGGGATTAGTGATTAGTTCCCGAATTGGGGCATATAGGTTTGAGCGTGAGGGATGGATTTTCATACTGACGGGAACCGAACCATCGTTTTTCGAGTCGTGAATGAATCAGCGTGTAGCTACATCGCGTTTCGGCCAGTCATTTTTCACTTATTTCAATCGTTTTCCTCTAATAAGACGACCATGTCTCGAGGTTTTATTGCACTTACATACCGGTCTTCCAAGTCACTTGAAACGCACCATCCTCTGGTTCTTGAGGTTTTGCTTAATGAGAAGTTTAAAATGTTAGCAGAGTATCGCGATGCATTTAGATCCCGAGTCTTGCGCTCCTGATGCAAAAAAAAAAAAAGAACGGTGCAAGCGTTTACTCAGCGAACTTCGCCGAAACAAGCAGCACTAACAAGTAAAGCTCATTGAAATGCCAACTGCATTATTGCAGACAATCATTATATCTGCGGGGTTTGATCTTCAATCCCAATAAGCAATACCATTGAAAATGCTTCTCCTTCTTCCTCTCCCCTACCTTCGGGTCATTCGTAGCTGTGGGCTACGAATGACCCGAATTCAACAAACCCCGCGTGCAAATTAGTCACAGTAAGCAATAAAGTTGCAGAGAAATAACACATAGTTAACCTCAACTATGAACAAGGTAGCAGCAGCGAGATGAGAATGCCGCTGATGTTTACCCAAGCTTCAGTACGAGAGCCTGAGCTGTTCCACTTAGAGTGAGCAGCGTTTTCTTGGAAAGTTACTACTTCCTCACGTGTAAAATAAATAGCAACGCACACCAGACTAGCCGGTGCAATCATGCATTTTGTGCAATTCAGCCCACCAAACGACTGCCCATTAATAATTTTCACTGCTTTGTATTTTAGCGTATGCAAAAATAGTTGAAACGTTGAAAAATAGTTAAAAATTTTACGCGGCGACGCATGAAGGCTGTATTTGAAACCTTAAAGGATGAATATCTTTCCGTGATTCCCGAGATAATAGTTTGTCTGTCAAAACTTTCACGAGACTGTAAATGATACCCAAGAAACGCTGAGTTTGGATTTATAAGATCGCACGTGGGCAAGGGGACATTGTCCTAAAATTCCAGCTGTGTAGACTTTGTGGTTCTCGAGATAACGATCTAAGCGAAAAAAATTTTCACGGAACCGTAAGTGATACCCGAGAAGGGGGGAACGCTGAATTTGAACTTGCAAGGTCGAACGTAGGCAAGGAGTCGCTACCCCAAAATCTCAGCTTTCTAGATTCTGTGGTTTCCGAGACAATAATTTACCCGCAAAAACTTTCATATGCCTGTATGTGATACCCGAGAGCGCGGGGATGCTGAATTTGAATAGGCAAGGTTGAGCGTGGGAAGGAAGTCATTACTCTAAAATTTCAGCTTCCTAGACTCCATGATTCGCGAAATAATAATTTACCCGTCAAAAAAAAAATTTTTACAGGGCCATACATGTTACCCGCGGACAGTGGAAAGATAAATTCAAATTTTCTGGATAGCAGATGGGAGGGGGATATGCCCACAAAACTTCAGCCTTCTAGCTTATGTGGTTCCCGTGATAATAATTTTACCTGCCAAAACTTTTATGAGGCCGTACATGTTACCCGCAGGTATGGAAAGATTGAATTTAAATATGCTGCGTCACACGTTGATTGGGAATATTATACTAAAATTTCAGCCGCCTAGTTTTTGTAGTTCCCGAGTTGAAAGTGCGGGACAAAATGTGGGACACACACACATACACACAGACAACCCCGTGACAATATGCGTTTTGTAATGCTTTACACAGCACAAAACGCATAATAAAGCTCCTCACGATTTTTGAGACTATTACATTAAACTGTTCTTAACGAAAGCACTAAAACAACAGCACATGTCACCCGTTTACAAATCAAACAATACCTTACTGAGAACTGGCACAGCTCTGCTCAGCCTTTAGATGGATCCCTACAACATCCTGAGATTCGTGGACCAATTCCCTCCTTCCTGCCATGGAAACACGTCATATATGCCACCAACGTGAAGGCTGAGAAGCCGCAGAATCCAAAACTTACATTCA